TCCTATGCCTGTCTCACCACGTATGCTGGGAGTGCTGAGGGCAGATAACTTGTCTCTTTGCTTTTATATGTCTACAGGTGGAGTGGAATTGAGCCCCAGGTGTTGTTGTATTTATGGATTATAGTAGAAGCCTCATCTGCACCTCATTAAAATGATTTAGATGGTAAGATTTTTTTTTAACTTTTAAGGAGATTTAGATACAATTTGGGGCTTGACCTAATTGTGAAATTTATATTTTAACGATGCGATTTCGGAACACAGTTGATGCTGTTCTGAGATGAGTCTTTGAGAACCTAGAAAAGGGAGTCAGTGTATTTTGCAAGTTAAGCAGGATTTTGGGATGGCCTCCCAGATTTCTGCACCCCCCTCCCCCAATGCGCATACCCTGTGGAGTCGCTTCCCTTCAAATGCGGGTGGAACCCGTGAATATGATGGAAGAGTAGCTTATTTTCAGGTTAAGTTTTTATGCCAAATGGTGATGGGATCGTCACTCAGTGATTACCTTATGTTACATAAGACTCCATCATAATAGTCGGTAGAAGCATTTAGAAGTTGGAGAGATCATCTCCCATGGGCTTGGAAAAAAGCTAACGCTGTGAGATGCCTGTTGGAGTCAGCTGGCAAAAAACTGTGGACAGCCTCACTGAGCACTTAGAGTCTGCCGCTTATCTGGCTGCTTGCGTGTCTATATTATTCTGAAATAGCAAGACCTTTTAAGTCGGTTTTATTCTTTGTATCTTATGTCTTGGATTTCTGACTCCACAACCTAACAAAGGGCCTGGTACACAGTAGAAACTGAATACATATTGAACTGAAATGAATCACCAGAAGGGAATGCTACACAATGTATTAAGTTAATGACAAAAAAAAAGAAAAGAAAAAAATGTTTCCTGTATACTTATAATGCTTAAATATTGAACTTATTTTAGCAAAGCAAATAGAAGGTACCTGGTGAATAATAAATTTTCATGCTTCACATACGAATCTATCTTTCATGCTGCTACTAATTTCATCCAGTTTTTATACAGTATGGACCAACCAGAAAATTTATAAAGTTCAATTAAAAATCAAAATGTATTATCTAGCACATATGAATATAACATCTTCAAGATGGGTTAAAGTTTTTTTGTATTTCCACTGATTTTTCTCTTGTTGTTGCACAATCTTCTTGACTTCAGCTTAAGCCATTTATACTTCGAACAGCAAACAGGTACAAGTTACTATTAGTCAATGCCTTCTTATTTCTTAGGTGTGCCCCACAACTTCGTGAGCACATCTGTGGAACCGTCTGTGCTTTTCAAAAGCTGTTTCGGAATCTCATGTGTCATTATGAAATCTATTTGGTTACTGATGATTCATTCTCCCCAAAGGGAATAAAATGGGTGCCAATAGTGTTGATGGTACTCTGGACCTCACTTAAGAAAATGCTCTCACTTGCAAAACTGAAAGCACTAAATATACTTTTATATCCAAGGCAAACAAATTGGGAACAACCAGAAATACAGAATTTTACTAGAAATTACAACATTGGTTTTTAAAACAGAAATGCTAACATTAATTTGACAAATATGTATATAGGGCAACTAAAAGGAAATAATAATTATCTAGTGAGGCAAAAATAGTGAGAAAAAAAAACCCTTCTTTATTTTGATAAAGAAGGGTTGTGTTTGATAAATAATAAGTGGAAACATCAACTTAAGTTATTCCAAAGAATGAAAATCATCCAGTAACAGAGCCATAAGTCAGATTACAAAAGTCATAAGAAGGATACAACTGAATACTGAAAATAATAATACTAAGCCAGTTATTGCCTTTATTACATTACTTAGGGCCTGTAGAAACACAACATGACTCACATCTGCTTAAAACTAAAATTTACTGTTTTAAAACACACAAATTTAACAAATTAATTCTTCACTTAAGAGTCTTTTTTTTAAGTCTATGAAAGACTGAAGAAGTGAAAGTCTGAAGAAAGGCCGAAACATAAATAAACACACATGACCGGAGGTTGGTGCATTTTTCCCTCAATGTTATTGGCAACAGTTTCATAAGGTCTAAAATTAGATAGTAACAGCGTGTCAGAGTTAATTTTCTGATTTTCATGTTTTATTACCTTTATGTATAATAATATCCTTGTTTGTAGAAATTACACACTGAAGCATTAGGTGGTGATAAGACCTCAGGTCAGCAACTTGCTCTCAAATGTTGCATGTGTTCACTTAAGAGTCTTAACTCAAAGAGTTAAATAAGAATAGGGCAATGGCTTTGTAGCAATTTGCAGAGCAACATTTAATAAGATCTGGCAAAATTTCAGGTACTTAGACCTCAAACAAACACAAAACCTCATTTCTAGCATGTTATCTGGGACTCACAAAATCCTAACATTTATGATTAGTTGTTTTTTGGTTGCTTGGTTGGCTTTAACTTGGGTGGATAGGAAAGAGGCAGAGGAACTGGAGTCGAAAGGCCTGGAGAAGTCACAGAGCCTTTCAGAGGCTCAGTCTTACTCCCTGTAAAAGAGTCCCCATAAATGATATAAAACTAGTCCTTGATCGTTGCCAATGAGTTTTACTCTGTGTAGAGAGGATACAATTCACTTATCTTAAGTATTTAAAATGAGCATATTATTTCCAATATATATTTTATATTTGTATAAGGAGAATCTTATACTTAAAATAACAGTTTAGCTGAGTCTAGAATTCCAGTATAACCTTTATTGTCCCCATGAAAGTTGAAGCTTTTTTTCTCATTGTCTTTTAAATTTTTTTTAAGACTTCATTTATTTTTTTTAGACAGAGGGGAAGGGAGGGAGAAAGAGAGGAAGAGAAACACCAATGTGCGGTTGCCTCTTGTGTGCCCCCAACTGGAGACCTGGCCTGCAACCCAGTCCTGTGCCCTGACTGAGAATCAAAGCAGCCACCCTTTGGTTCACAAGCCAGAGCGCAATCCGCTGAGCCACACCAGCCAGGGCTGTCTTTTAATCTTTAATTATTGCTGACATTTCAGACTATTGGAAACATTTTAACTTGTCAGTGTAATTGTTTTTCCTTTCTAGGTGATCTAGGCTTTTCCTACAGTTGTTTTGAAGATTTTTTCTCTTTGTCTTTGGTGTTATACATTTTCACTAATTGTGTCTAGGTGTTGGTTTATTTTTTTATCCTGCTCTTAACTCATTTTTCTTGCAAATCTTAAGACTCATGATTTTCATCCATTCAAAAAAAATCTAGTTGTTCTTTCGAGTAGTGCCTGCTGTCATTCTCTCTATACCATATTTGCGAAACTTAGAGTAGATGTGTGTTGTACCATCTTATTGTATCATTTGTGTGACATAACCTCTTTTATAATTTCAGTTTTATATCTTTATACTGTACTCTGGATAATTTCTCCAAGTCTGTATTTTAAGTTACTAATTTTCTCTTCAGTTTCTTTAATCTGTCCATTGAGAATTTTTTCTCCTTTAATTACAATGTTTTTATTTCATTTTCAAACTGCACATTAGTTGTTTTAAAATTTAACATTTTGTAGCGTCTTATACTTTCTAAAGATTCAATTATTTATTTTGAAATATATTCATTTAAAAATACTAATTTTCAATTCTTAATCTATCTTAAATTCTTGAAACACTCGTTTAGAATAATTATGTCAACCAATCAATCCATAGTAAATTTTCTTGATGTGTTTTGTTAAATTTTTATTGTGAGTTTATATCTAGCCCACTCTTTCACCAAGCATACCTGTCACAGATGGGGTTCACTGGACAACAGACCGAGGAAAAGTTCAGTGTTCAAGTCATTTGTTAGGAACTACTCTTGGCATTAACACTATGGAAGAAAATAAGATTGCACAGTGAATGAAGTCAAACTGTGATGCAGTGGCATTGAATGCCTATACTGACCCTATGTGTGTCTTTGGTGTTGACGTGGTTCCATGTAGTTGTTTCCCACTGAAGAAATATGGCCAGGCCTCTACCCCCCTATCAACCAGTCCTTGGAGGCTGGCTGTCCTGGGAAAGGGGCAGAGCATGGCTTAGGTGAGACATCTTTCTTGAGCTGAGACAATTTCCAAAAGAGGCTGTCAGCAAAAGATGATCTGCAGTACTCCTAACAACTGGTATGGTAGAATTTTTTTTTTAATCTTGAAAAGGATTCTAGCATCATATATCATTCACCACAGTACAGATTTCAAGGACCCCAACTCCTCCCCTCAGGTGGGCTCTAGACTTCCTCTCCTCTTCCCATATGTGCCTTAAACTTAGGCTCTAACTTACTGACATCAAAATTACCAACTCCCTTCCCACCACACTCCACAGCCTACACCAGGACCAGAGGCATTAATTGTTCATTAGCTTCTAGTTCCTGTTTATAATTACTGGAGTCATCCAATCCAAGACATTTTCAGAAGTCCAATTACATCTGGATAGCAAGACTGTGCCAGGCAAAATGGGATATATATATTACTTATTCAAAGTGTCTTTCTTATGTTTTTTCCCACAAGGTCACTTTTTGGTTTTAACATTTCCTCCCCTCAGCATTTCCATGTACACGTGGGAAGATTTTTATGTTATCTTAGTCTATCAACCTGCAGGAAAGAAAATGTATGTTTTCAGTTTTTAAATCTTAACCTGAATTTATCAGAATTGTATCAAATCCCATTTGACATTGTATGCATATCCCATTATATTTTATGCCAAATTACAAATACAATACCATTTTTGAAGTGATTAATCATTTATCCATTGATTTAAAATGATATATGTGTTATATTTGAACCCTAAACACACAAACATGCATACATGTTTTCAAATTCAAACACTAAACTCTGTTCTTTTTAGTTTTTAATTTTTATTGAATTTTTTGGTGTGATAATTTATTGATTAATAAAAGTATATAGGTTTTAAGTGTAAAATTCTTTAATACATCATCTGCATCTTGTACTGCGTGTTCACCATCCAAAGTTAAACCTATTTCTGTCACCATTTATCCCCCTTTTCCCCTCTTCTAGAAAAATGGTGGTTAAAGGCCACAAAGTAGGTGGCAATGCCTTAACCATGCATGTGTTTTTAGCCCCAAGAGCCTCTTCCATCCTTATCAAGGGGAGTGCTAACCTTCTCTCCTTTCATACAGCACTGAAATCTGTCTTGTGTTTTCTGTACATCTCCATTAATCTGCTTATCTATTTCTGTACCAGTGTCACATTGATTTGATACTTGTAGATTCATAATTCACCTTATTGAATAAGATCTTCTTATATTCTCCTAACATAGGCTATTACTTAAACCAAATATTAAAGTCACCTGTAAAACTACACAGAACTTCCAGTTGGTTATTATAAAAATTGAGGAAAAATTTTGCTATTTGTCTGGATACATTGTGAAGTCATCTACTTTATTGCATATACATTTTAGTTTTTATAGCTTGGGTATTTGACTCTAAGGTGAAGCATTCTCTCTTTTCTCCCATGCAAATATATCAATTTTTCAGTTTTGAAGAGTAACTAGAGATTGTCCATGCTGATAATAAACACAGGAAGTAATGCATAATTGTGGTTTCTACAGTTGTCTAATGCTAAGCAAAATTCCACTGTGGTTTAGTTTACAGGAGAGTCCTCTTATATTTTCCTTTGTATAAAAACAAATACCACAATAATGACCACCCAGAAGTAAAGGATTTGCTGCTAGGAGGATATAAAGAAAGAAAAACATTTGCTTAAACATATGCTCTTGCTTATACTATACTTTTAGACAAATTTAAATTGAGATTTAATAATATAGTTCCTATCTGATTCAATTATTTCTAAAACATCTGCTGGGAGACAATGATACCAATTGAAATATACTCTTATCTAGGATCAGAGGAACTTTTAAAAATCACGTTCCTCAGTGACTAAATCACTACCAAAAAAGAGTATAGGAGCAGGAATAAAAGTAATTACATTTGTAAAAATTTATCAAAAGAAAACCCTAGTAATTTGTTTGGCACAGGTTAATTATTCCTCTTCAGCACTCAGTAGTCAGTAATTCAGAACATTTTTCAGTTCTCCCAATACATCACGATCTATGTCTTGGTCCAGGCACATTTCACATGGTTCTTTCCCTTACTCTGCTTCTCTCCCCTCTCCATCACATCTGCCTATCCATCAGGTATCAGTTTAGAAGTCTGGTTACCTAGGATGGTCTCCCTGGTGAATTCTTTTGGAAAGAGGTCAGCTAGTTCCTCCTTTTCTTGCCTGTACTTCTCCTTCCACATTTAATTGCTTCTTATATTTTTGTTCCTAAAAAAAGTTGAATTTTGAGGAGTAGGGGAATTTTTTTCAGAGTTGTATCTCCAACAACTAACAAGGAGCCTGGCAAACAGTTAAGTCATTATCAAATAATTTTTTAATAAATAAATGGATATGTAAATGACTAAAAAATAGCAGTGTGATAGTTTTATACTATGTAAACTTAACAAAACTGAAAACATAATTCTCCCTTCTCTATATAGCTCTTGGTTAAAGTTATAAAACAAGAAATTTGCCCAAAGTTTCGAAATTGGAAGTTAAGCAGTACCACTGCACTTTGAATGTCATTGTGCTTAGAGATGGTCGAAGTAGATGCAGAGGAGGTGGTAAGTCATAGTTTTTCCTTGCCCTCCCTTGCTTTCTGTTCAGCCCTTCTTCCTTCTAGACCCCTAATACAAGGGAGGGGGCACCCAAAAAACTGGAGTTTATTTATAAAAAGTTGTGTATTTATTCCTACATGTTTAAATTTCCGTCACCTTCAGAGCACTCTCCATTGATGCAATACACCTATCAAGATGTTTTCCATTGCCCAAAATAGTTTATGAAGTCATCAATTTTGATGCTTTTTAGTGCTTCTGCCCTTTTTTGTTTCACCTCTTCCACATTGGCAAAATGTTTCCCTTTGAGGACTTATTTTCATCCAGGGAAACAAACAAACAAGTCTCCTGGGACAAGATCAGATGAATAGGAAGGGTGGGGCGCAGGGCTAATGCCATTTTTGGTCAAAAACTGCTGAACACTCAGTGTCATATGGGCAGGTGTGCTTGTAAATCACCCATCATGAAATGGGCAAATGCATTGAGTCTTCAAAAAAAAAATTAACTGAAGCTGAATGCAGCTTCTCACAACAATGCCAGCTGGTACACTGATACATCAGTTCCTAGAACATTCGCCCAACAGGGAAGCCTGCACTACAAGGGGCCCACCCTCCAGAAGATAATTCTATTTTCTTTTGGGAGGGTTCCCTCTCATAATTCCTCAGCATCATCTACAACTCCTGTAAGATCTTATTCTTATAATGGGTCTACTATCCCATAATTCTGATAGCAGTTCTGCTTTTCTGATAAAATCCTAAGTGATGCAAAGGGTAATAGCCACTATTTCTCTCACTTTCAGATTATTTCATACATTGTTAAAAATGCTAAAGATCAAAATTAAGGTTGGTGATTTTCACTGCAGAAAAATACTGATCCAATTTGAAAATTTAAAAAGAAAATCTATTCTTATAAAGAGTTTACAGTTTACAATTGGGGCAAGCTAAATCATGACTTTTCTCTCGACATGTTTCTCAGACTTGCAAAGAGGTTGTCTGTGGCTGCAGGCAAACTTAACCATAACATAATCTCAAATAAAAAAATGCTGTGATGGAATCTAGAGGGGACTTTTAATTAAAAAAAAAAATAAAGCTTAAGCCACTAGGTCCACATTGAAGGGAACACAGCTATGGAAATTTAAGAATAAAATATAGAGAGCATTATACTAAGCGAAATAAGCCAGAGGGCGAAAGACAAACGCCATATTGTATCACCTGTAAGTGGAACCTAACCAACAAAACAAAGATGCCAAGGAAAATATGACCAGCAACACTGAAACAAAAAAAGAAACCAACAGACTCAAGAGGGAAGAAGGGAGGGGTAGGCAAGGAAAAGAAAGGAAGGGTCAAGTTAAGGAACACATAACAAGGACTCGTGGACAAAGCCAAAGTGGGGAAAGATTGAGGGAAGGAGATTGGGGTGGGGGGCAGGGGAAAGTGGTGGGGGGAAGGTGGAGGCAAATGTATTTGAACAAAAAATAAATTTAAAAAAATATGGAGTAAGGTTATGGAATTAATTAGGTTACTAAATTAATTCAGTGTAAAAGTTATGTAAATCATCATTATTTCTATTTCTGTTAGATCTCTATAACATTGACATCAAATTATCCCAGTTTGCTCTGTTTACTAGAAAGTCTGTCTACAACAACAAAAACAATAAAACATTCAAGTAAGAATGAAATATGGTAGTGTCAAACTGTAATTAAGATGTTAGTCAATGTTAATAGTTTGATCTTCCCCCCAATTACCTAACATAGATAAGACTAGTTAGTTGTTCAAATGAGAAAAATAACACAATAAAACCAAACCAAAGACAACTTTGCTCAAATTTTTCTTCTATGGTTTTTAAGCACAACCATAATTATAATTGCCATTTCTTCAAAAGCTTTTAATGAGGACAGAATAAAGTTCAAATTATAATCATGTTATTCAATATTTTCCCTTTAATCAGATCTCAAAATACCACTTTAAATCTTTTCCCTCATAACCCCAACTAATATAGTTAGCCTCAGAGAGATCATCTACATTCTACATTAACTGTTGGACTGACTGCAAGTACCATGAGAACCAGGTCTACATACTGACCAATTTTGTATCCTCTTCAGAGCTAACAGTGTTTGGCATGAAAGAGACATCGGGAAAGATTTATTATATTACAGTGACTTGATCCATGCTGAAAAACAAATAACCCAGAAAGTTTTAGACACAAATATTACACAAGTCAAGTTTTATGTCTTTTTGTGGTCATGACTGTTATTTTGTATAAAAATATATTTTTCAAAATAATTTGAGTGAGCTTCGCCACTTCTTTTCCAGAGTTAATTTTAAGAATAAGAACCCAGGATAGTAAAAAAAAAAAAATTAATAATACTTTCCTGCTGTTTTAACATTTAGAAGATTATAAGAATTCTTTTTGGCCAATACAATTTGCCCTGATTTTACCCAAATTTAAGTTTACCTCTGCTTTCCAGTCATTTTGATGTAATTATATCTGTTTTGCTAGCCTTAGAAAATATATCATCTTTGCATGACCAACATACATTTTTTTGCAATAAAATTAATAAACATTTTGGGAAGGGTAATGTCTGTCTGTACTAATATCATTTAGGTTCACAAACACATCACTTAGATATTTTTTATTATTTATCTTTATTGTTTATATTATGAATGTGCTATGGAATGTAGGTTCTTCAGGAAATACCAGTATATTCAACTGATATTGGGAATATAAAAAACTGACTTTATGACAAAGTTAGAACTAGCATTTAACAATGAAATAATATCCAAGTTAACTTGCTTACACCTAATGCTAGACTAGCAAACTGAATAATGGGATCTTAGCTCTGGTGAGAAATATAGAAGGTGGAGACAAATGTATTTGAACAAAAAAATAAATAAATAAATAAATAAAATGGAATTTTCCAATACTGTTAATGGACATATGAATATATGCATAAAATAAATACTAAACTTTTTTTAAAAACAAAGAAGCTTTCAGGATAAAAGCATTGTCTTTACATTGGCAAGTTTATACAATAAGTTTTATATAAATAAGTTAGTTATCAGTATGTTTAAAATAAGTAAATATAAATTAAAATAACAGAAATTTCCTACTGAAATAGTCCAAAACGTTGATATCCTTCATTGGTGATAAATTCAATTATTGCAGTCATGAGAAAAACAACTTTAAAGTTATGTTTTACTCAATTTTGAATATTAAGCCATCCTTTGATTAATAAGTTATTTTTAAAAACTAAACTTTCAGGAGTTATTAAATATTCATTATAGATTTGTTCTTTCTCTTTAAAAAAATCCTTTCTAATGTCTCTCATGAAATAGTGAAGAGGGATTATAAAAACTGACCAGAACACAAGAAAAACCAGAGTGATGGTTGTGAGGATAGAAAAATAGAATTAATTTCCATATGTGGTTTGAGTAATCATTATCATTATTTTAAAGATTAAATTATTAAAATCCAAACCATAGTGTATGCATTCTTGGAGTCGTATCAGTATTAGCTGCATATAACCACAA